ATGTGACTTGTGACCTGGGTTTCTAATATATCGTGATGGGACAATATGACTTTTTAATCCAAGACTTTGGTGCCCTTTCCACCCCAGCTACATGTTGTCTACATGGTTTTGTTGTGACTTCAATGTTAAAACATGGGGGGGCTATAAGTACATATAAGTACATGCACTGTAATTAGAATTAGTGTTACACATTTTTTTCATTGATACAAAATGAATCAAGAACAAATTTGTAATTCACTTTATCAAGCAGTAATGTCAACAATCGAACCGAATGCAACCGAATATGAGCATTTGCTGGATTTGTTGGTCTGAAGTTTAGAGAGAAAGGAGGTGTACTTTATAGAAACATAAAAGAATAAAAACTAGGAAGCCGTGGCTTCATGTTTGTAATGGGACGATGGCTCTGGGAATTCCTCCTCCCAGTTCTTTCTTCTGAGCTAAATCTGAGTGAATCATGAATAAATGTTTTCCTTTTTACAGCATTAATTCAGTCAGGTAGATCCAACTGTGAGCTCATGACCTCGTGAAAATAAAGTTGTATTAGGATTTTCCTGTCTCTTTTGTGTGTATATTTGTGTGTGTTTTGACCTTATGAATAGATTCATTTGTAATATAACATCTTTATGCTTTCATTTCTCTTCTGACAACTTCCTCTAGCTGCTGATTGACACAAGACTTGGTGATTAACGCATACATGTTTTAGTTTCCTTTATACAATAGTACTTCCCTGTGAGGGTTTTGCAGTTTATCAGTGAACAGTTGATCCATTTCAGATTTTGTTCTGATGTGCTCAACGTGCTCAACGTGCTCAAACACTTGCCTGTTGGATGAGACAGATCAGTGGAGCTGAATGGCAGTTTGTTGACAGTTATCGTTTAGTAATGAAGTGGAATAGTCAGAGAGGCACATTTACTTCTGAGGTTTGGGATACGTTAATGTTGTGTGCCACCATCTGGCCCGTTGCCTCATTCAGATGGATGAACGTGCCTTCTACATGGCCTCTATATGTTGCTATCGTAGATCATATCCCCCCATTTAAACCATTGCCTGCATTATTCACACTCTACTGTTGGGTTTATTAGCTGATAAGAGTTAGATTAAGGACTATTGGACAACTATACACACACGTGTGATCCATACAGAAAGTTCACAGGTCTGGTCCCCACAGCTGCCAGTGGGCCTTGAAGTCATTATTAAACAGTTCATTTTGAACTAATTATTTCATATTTTACTCTCATATTTCATGATGTTGTAATGCAGAAAACTTAATGTATGCCCTGTAATTAGTGTCTATTATTTGAGACCATTATTTTATTTGATTTTAATAGGACTTTTATAGGATCTAAGATGTCTGTCTAAGATAGACAGATACAGAGGTTTTTAGAGGTTTGTCAACATCTGTTTTACATCAGATAATTCAAATTTCTCAGGCCTAGCCTATAAATTTGGTTATTGACTAAGTGTGTCATTGAGCTGTCTCAATTATAATATGGAGACATCATATTCAGGACACTTTTCTCCACAGTGTAGATGCACTAGTTGGTTTCACATCCAAGGCAGTTAAATGGTGTTTTAATGACCCACTGAATGTCATTGTGTATTCTAATGGTCCGGTCTTTTCCTTGCTCTCTGTGCCATTAACGGGGCACGTTGGTAATGCATCCTTGATGTAAGATCAGGTCACTTTCATTTGTGATATTTTTCGTGTATTCCATCCGAAGGCCACAGAGCATAAAGTTTCTCTATAAGTTCAGTACTTTCATTCATTCCTTCGTTTACTGTGCGTTGCTTCCACCCAAAGCCTCCACCTGTCTCCACCCAGCCTCCCGGTATTTATTGTCCTCTTACCCCGGGGAGCGATACTCGCGGACATCACTCCTCCCCCTGGCCAGATGTTGAAACTTAAACACGCCATCCATCAGCCTGCAGACAGACGAGTAGCACAGCAGACAGGGGCGATGACCCAGCAAAGACATTCCTAATTTACAGGTTTAAACTGACTCACACATACACACATAGAAAGAGACTCTAGTCCTAAGCTTTGTTCCCACCTTTTGTTTTTAAATCAACATGTAGTCAATCAACTGTCCGATTACTGGTTCTAAACACAAAATTAAAAACTCAAACCCAGAGAACCAAGCTTCTGGCGTGATAAAATAGCATTATTCAGCCGAAAGTGGTTTCATTCATCAAGGCTCAATCTGTAGAGTGCTTTTCTTCACTTTTCCTTAATATTTAAGTAACACTATTACTCAAGAGCCAGATAAGGTCCCATAATTCACATAAAATGTACTAGATGCAGTCAGTCATGTAACTCTCAATCAGTTTTAAATCACGCATTTCAGTGCAACTCATTTTTTTCAGCCTGTCTGTTGCTCTTGTCAACTCTGTTTCACATGTCGACATCGTGTTTTCTGAATCTGACATTTTTAGACAAACCCGCCACTATGAGCAAAAGTAACTTCTTGCCCTGATCTCGAAGTGGAACAACACAGTAACTGCTGCAGCTGAGTGGTATTTCCCTGTCAGCTGTTCAGTGTTGCTTCAATCTTTCCATGGCTTTCTCTTGGCCGTTCTTCATGGGAACTCTCACGCCAGTGACTGAAGGGCCGTCTCCTTGAATGTAAACTGTCGCTGTTTAGTGGTGACACGGTTAACATTGGCAGAGTAATGAATTTATTTCACTCTCCATAGTATTGATGCCCATCTTTAAAGAAGTGTGACAAATGGATGCTGAGTAGCGATCGACTTAAGAGATGTGTGTGGGTCTGTGTGTGAGCTCAGACAGAAGATCTATTTAGGCTGCAAATACACAGTCCCCTTTGCCCAAATGTAACAAATCTCCCACACGCAGGTTTAAGGGCTTATTTCTCAGCATGTGTTGTCTGATTGTAAGCAGGACCCCTACCTCTGAGACAGTTTGTGCTCCTTATAGACATGTTTATTCAGTTTCTCAATACATACAGAAGGTCCTGGTGACAGCAAATATGGAGAAGCTTACATAAAGGCAAAATAAATGTATGTGTGTCTGGTAGGGACAGAAAACGTGAGTTTGTACCAACCAGTCCGTATTTACGTTACAGCACCTGAATATTTTTGTACAGTTCTTCCAGATTTGACTTAATATTGGAGAAATGTAATGATTTTCTCTTCTCTTCTTCTTTATTTTCTTTGTCTCATTTCTTTTTCTTTGTCTGAGTGCTTGCATTGTCTGTCTCTATTAAGATACTGATCAATCTTTCTATTGACCAATTAAGTAAAAGAAAAGCAAAGACATGGTTGACCCATACAATCTCTAATCATGTGGTCTGGTCTTACCCTAACCCTAACACACACCTTAATGAAAGCATTGCTCCTAATCGCAGTGTCTAAAGAGTCCTCATTTTGTAAAGTACATTTTATAATCACCTAGAGCAGTTAAAATCCTTAACAAAGATGTTGTTGTTGTTTAGAGCACTGAGTTTGATACTAACTGATTAAGGTCTTGTGGACCTTTGTTAGAGCCACATTAATGCGGGGCTTCTGATCTGCTGTGTGATGGAGGGAAAAACAAATCCGTGCACAAAGAAGTGTCATGAATTTTTCATGAATGTAGACCGAGTCTCCCCAGGACCCTGCTCTGAATTATAAACAAATACACAACTCTTAAAGAGTGGAGAATAGCTGATACATTAAGCAGAAAACACGAGTCAAGTTGTTTATCATTTATTCGGACTCAGGAGCAATCTCGACATTATTTTCGTCTCCATTACTTATGGGTGTAAGTGTTCTTATTGTCTCATATTCATGATATGAATACATTTTTTTTAAATTAAGATATCAGTGAGTTAAATAGAAGTGCTAAATAAAACCTTGCCTCCTCTGAACTGTCTGATAAACTGCCCTCGTTATACCGTATATCTGAGCTTGAATCTTTCTTAAGATGTAGAACTATCTTTACATCTATGTTAAAATTCGGATGAGATGCTGTTTTTGTGAGTGTGTTGTTTCGGCATCGAGCACTAGATTCTTTACAGTTCCCAGCATTATTTCAGAGAAACATTCTTATCGGTATTTGTTTGTTATATTTACATATTTTTATTGTTCGTTTTTGGCCTTGTTAAAGTTGACCTTGATTGAAAGAGAAGAAGAACAGAGCATGTGTCAGTGATTCTGTGCACGCACAAAATGATTCTGAGGTCAGCCAACTAGTGTATGTATGTGCCTCTTCTATGCCTGGAATCCAGACAGAAATATTCTGGTACAAAAAACAAAATCCTTTTGCTGGGTAGCATTTTGCTTTTTTAAAATTGATTTGAAAACCTACTCTCTCCAAAGAATTTCAAGAAATGTGCATTCAAATCCAGACTTTATATGAAGGATGTTGCCAATGATTATTTTGTTCATGGATTAATCTTGTTGAATCAACTGGTAGTTCAGGCTTTAACACATCAGAAAAGGTGGAAGATGGTCACTGCAATTTCCCAAAGCCCAAGGCAACATTTTCAATTGCTTGTTTTGTCTGCCAAAAGAAGAGCAGCAAATTCTCACCTTTTAGAAGATACAACTATTAATTGTCTATTTTTGCATTAAAAAATTACTTAAAAGATTAATCGATTAACAAAGAAGTCTGTATTTCCTGCCAATTGATACATTGACTAAATGTTGCAGCTCTACTTTGATTCTATTCAGTAGCTGTTCTGCAGATTTCTTTTCTATCTTGTCACATAGATTATTTTTGCTGAATTTAATTTTCTAAGAATATAAACAGAAAAGTATTTCTGTCTTTTGATTTGATTGTTTGGAGTCCTGACGATTGCTTTTGTGGTTCCACCAGTGCCATCTTCATTAGGTCTTCAGTGATGTGAATGAAGTCCCTCAAGGTTTGGACATGAAAAGCACAGTAGCACTGGAGCCACATGTTGCTTCCTCTTCTTTATGTTTCACAGTGGTTTCCCCTTTAGTCACGAGCCATCACTGCATTTACTTTAATGAGGCTTTCTGTATTTTGTGTCTTCCAGGACTCAACGCTCTGCCCTTTGATCCAGCATCCAACAACGACCCTCTCCATTTCAACGGTTCCAGTGGGCAACTGGTGACAGAGTGTCCTCCTCTGGAGAACACTGCTGAGAATAGCAAGAAGAGGAAGAGAGCCAGCCTGCCTCCAGGTACTGACAACAACTGCCTCACAAGAGTTGCATCACTGCTGCAGGATTACTCTGTGCTTTCAAATCCTCACCGTTTTTCCCTCCGCTATGTCAAATGCTAAATGCAAGTGCCCATATGGTAAATAGAGAATGCCTTCCATCATTCAGGAAAGCTCTGATACAACAGCTAGATTTTTTTACCTGACTTTTCTTCCCCCCGTTCCTCCAACAAATACAACAAATAGCTGCGATGGGAATTGTTGCATAATCCTATCATTTGGTGGTGGCACGGGGGGGGGGAAAGTAGCTTAATTTAGTCTTTGTTGTTTTCGATTAGCTTGCCATGTCCTGAGGCTCTGGTTGTCTGGCCTGTGTGGAGGTCAGGCAGCTGCAGCAGGAAACCGCTCCGCTGAGATTGTGTGCCTGACTGTCAGTTACCGTGCCAACACCACCTGCCAATCAAAACTGCAACACGCCTTCAGCTTTCTCACACGCACATGCTGACCTGTCACACACACAGGGACGCACTGAGAGAGGTGTGTCTGTGTACATGTGCGCTACAGAGTGTGCCATAATTAAACAGTAATTTCAGTTAGCGGTGGTTTGCTTGGTAATGTGTCAAATTAAAGAAGGACTTTCTAATTAAGGAATTAAAGAAGTACTGACTAATTAATTGCTTTGTAAGTAATAGAAAGAAGAGGGCCCTTAAGACTGAGAGGTTGTTTCTATGTTCTCTGCTTTCCTAGAGATGCTAATTGGACTGGATTAATACTCCACATTAACATGGCCCTAATCAACAATTCATCTTTTCTTCACATGGATGCGTTCACTTCTTGATAAAGTTTAATTTCATTTTAATTCACTGACCATGTCAAACTATAATTGGATAATGTATCATGGATGATTTTCAAGCAAATGGCCAACGTCTGTCCAAATGACAGATTTGTTTAATGTTATAAGTAACATATTATGCGTAACATTAAGCCCATGTGTGAATGGATTCCCACTTAAAAGGAAGAAAATAAAATTATATTGACAGAACCATTACAGTAATTTCAGCTTCTTCAGTTTCTTGAGATGTATTAAAAACATGACCTCCCATCAGTTAATTCATCAAAACTGCAGTTTCAAATGTTTTCTGGATTCTCAAATGATCAGAACACATGTAAATGCATCTTTACGATCAATAACTTAAACACCCTGCAACCTAATAGATATATTTTATGAACAGAAAGTGTATAATATGTAGGTAACATGGAGGTTTTCCAGAATAAGATCCCAATTTAAATATGAGCAAATAGTTCTCACTTGTCAGATTTCCCATTACAGCTCTGAAAGCAGAGTATCCTACAGTCACAATATCATTAGTGTTGTGCGTAATCACACTGTCAAGTACAACCCTGCAGGTTTTTCTCTTCCATTGTCATACTTACACAGCAAAAATATCCAAAACGCATGAAATGCTTTGACGGCAACTAGTAACAGGGAATAGATGTATATTTGTGTTTGTGTGCACTGATAAAAGCCCATTAGAAAGCCTTAATATAAAAACATTAGCAGATCATATATATAGTGAGTGAGACCATCATATTTTCTCTTAACATCACCAAAGTGGTAAGAACCAGTGGTAAGACCACTCCCTGTCTGGGTCATTCTGCGCCAAGTTATTTATATCAGACGTAGTGAGTAGGCGAACTTTCTTCCTCTAATATTAAATAATGCAGGAAGGTGAAATGACTTCTTGTATAATATAATGGTACTTTTTAGATTCTTTATATATGGGTAAATGCTGCGGTGATGATGAGTCATACCAAACCTCACAAGTGTTTTTCTCCATCCAACTTACTTTTCAACTCAGAATCACATGTAGGTCAAATGCATATCGTTGTGAGTTAATATGGGCACAGAAAGATGTGTTGGTATTTGCTTGAGGAACTTGAACTGACCAAAGTGATTGACGTTAGAAGTATATTCCTTCATCTTCTATTAAACTGTTAACTATGAGGCTGTGTGTACATTCGTAAGGTCAGTAATAGGAGTACTCCGATTTGTTATTATTTTTTTATTTGCGGTAGTGGTACAACTCACTGCTTCCTGTTTGTTGGAGGGCTGAGAGTGCAGAGAGCAGGCTTGGTAGGGAGAGTTTGTCCTTACAGTGCAAAATGTGTCTGAATTTCACAAAGAGTTAAATGTTATTTGAATTTCTCCAGGCTCCTCCGTGATGATTTTAGTTTGAGTCGGATTGAAGGATGCACGGTTATGTGTAATGATTCTCCTTTCATCTCGCTGCTCAGCGGTCACAGTGACACTTCCTCTGTCCGAGGTCTTTGTCACGCACATGCACGTTTAAAAAAAAGATTAAAAATCCACTAAAGGGGAACTTGGCAACTCTAGCCATTTCTTCCCTGTTTTTCACTTTTGTCGTCGCATGTTTTCTCAACGAGCTCCCCCTACAGCTCTGGGACGTATATTTCAAAACACTGTCGTAAAAATACTTACTTGCGGCACCCTCCTCTCCCTTTCTACCGCTGCTGATGTGCATTTGTTGCCGGGCAACTTTTTCGTGTGGAGCAATGTCTACCGAGGTGGGTAATACATTCATCGTCGCGTGTTCTTATAGCCAGCGTGGCTAACCGGTATTGAGGGGGGGCGTGTGCGTTCATGTGGAATTGCCGTAAAGCAGTTCGTGTTTCTCGCTCGTTCTCGCTTCTTACGATACTTCCTATTTCCAACTTAACGGGACGGTAGTCCCAAAGTTGCAAGGTTGGTTTTCTGCCTGGGGACGCTAGGGGGAGCGGGGAAAGTCACCATTTTCACCGGAACAGGCAATTTAACCATCCAAATGATTTCTAAACGGGTTTATTAAGTTGAAATAGTTGCCAAGTTCCCCTTTAATGCATAAAAATAGTTAAAACTAAAAAACTAAAAATCTGCTTACTTCAAGAGAAATCTAGCTAGAGAGATCATGTGTCTTGTGATCATGTGCAGAAAGAGGACTGTAAGTCAGTCATTGCTGCCTGCTAACTTGAATCCAGTAGCTTCGGTCTGGCTCACGATTGTCTCCAGTCTCGGGCCAGTCCTCCAGCTCTCTGATGAAGCACCAACTCATTAGCAGCCACATTGATTGAGTCTTGTTAAGGGACCCTAATGGATAAATTTTTTCCATTATTCAAGTGTGCAACCATCCATAGGAACATATACACTTTTATGAAACATTACACAGCTACATTTTATTTCAAAAATTACTTAAGAATTTCCGAAGGCAACAAACAAACCTGCTTCATTGATGTGACCCACGAGGAGTCCGAGTCATTCCAGACTTAATGCCACCCTGCTGATAGATTATTTACTAATGATCTTTAAACCACCGCACCAAGACCAAAACAACAAGCAGCTAGATTCATAATTAAGAGGCCCTCACCTCCTATAAACAGTTATGGGAAATGTTTAAAGTTGAATTGATATTCTGCTCACTCTGGCACAAAATAGTCCTCTCACTTCATATTCAGACTGTCTCCATATCTTTATTTAGTTGACGATGAAATGGCTCCTTAGAAATTAAGTTCAATGGAAATCATTCAAAGGAAATTTCCAGCTTGAAGTGACTTTATTTTACTCAGGCATGTGAAAAAATCCATTGTTCTTCTGTCTTGGACCCAGTAAAATTGAGGCATTGAATAGTTCAACCATACTTTCTTTATCAAACAATGCTGGTTTTATATAGTTGTTCCCTCTAAAGTTAGAGACGGTGCACTTGGTCACCATCTTTGCTCTTTATTCTTTTTTAGTTTTCTGTGTTTATGTGCACCCACTGTATGTGTGCGCGCCTGTCTTTTAACAATCCATAATAAGTGGTGCCTTGGGGCAGCAAGCACACTGCAAGGATTTTCCTTAGTCTGTTTTATATCAGTTTTACAACACAGCCAGAGATGGTCGTTTCCCCTCCAGTTCTGCTGTGTTTAAGCTGCAGGTGGTGAAGAGAATGAGATTTTGAAATGCTGCTCATTTTTTAGTGGCACAGGATTCCCCCCCCCACCTTTTTTGTTTTTTTACTGGAGCTGGATTTTATTATATCATGCCTGTTATGTTAACGTGATACTAATAAATAATCGTTACTGCTGAAGAAATTCTAAAATAAGGATTTACAGTGCAAAATGAAGGTACAAAATAAAAATAAAAGTAGGAAAAGTTTTACAGACAAAGGGGAAAACCTTTTTTTAAAGGACTTTGTACTTAACGGTCCCCTGTGGATCTTTCCACACAGAATGTAAACATGACTGTTGCTTGTGAACATTCAGCGTTACTTACCACTGTGTTCTAACAAATGTGTTGAATCCATTTCCTTTACTCGTAAAACAAAACCAATTTTGCAAGTATTTTAAATCCAGAATTGTTTCTATCTGTGTTTGTTTGCTAGCAGTCTTCTTCTTCCCTGCCTTTAATGGTGCATTGCAGCATATCTTGGCGTGTCACTGCGCCCTGTGGATCAGTGGAATAGTGTGAAACCATTGCGTATCCTGACTGTGTTGTGGTTCTCATGCGCATGCACAAGATAATTAAAACAGTGACCCACTCATAGAAAAGCAGCTCTGTAGTGCTACTAGAGGTCAAATACTCTACAGGGAACCTTTAAGGCTGAGTGATTTTTTTTTTTAGGCCTGAGAGCGAGGGGTTCCACAGCTGTGGATAGCAAAGGTCCTGTCAACTTTGGTAATGAGGTGTGTTTTCACCCAGTGCACACAGTACTGTGCCTGCAGCGCTCCTTAACTAACGTCCTGAACCCTTTGCAGTCTACTGTGGGTCAATTAGAGTGTAGACATTAACCCAAAGCATCCATACTTAAAGGACTATCAAAACCTTTGGGAAATTCGCTCACATTATTTGAAACATATGTGACATGAGGACATGCGTCAGTCAGTTAAGAGGCCTCATTCTTGGAGACTACACCAATCCACAAACCTTCTTCCCTTTTTACATATAGACAGCTTTTCCTGGAAACAACAAATAAACTTTAGACTTTA